GAGTCCAACCCGTTACTAGCGTGGTGTACCTAATAAAGTGGCCGGTGAGTGTATATGTATATATATATATATATTGTATAGCTACGTATTAGCTCGGGCGCTAACACAAATGCTAACATGCTAAAGCTGGGGTTCTCCTCCCATGAAGCAGTTCTGTCGTTCTCCATCATTAGTTTTTGTTTCAGGGTCATTTCTACCTTCTCCTCTCCGTCAACGCTCTGGTTTCATTAAAAAGGGCTGATTGTCAAATATTATCTAAGATTAACCTTCAGGATGGATAGGAGCTCGCTAGCAGCTTCGCACCAACGGAGCACCTGGTAAACGTCATTTACTCAGTATGCTTTGCAGCGCAAATATTATAGCGCTGTCCATGTGACTATAWATGTTTTAAATTTATAAAAACTAAGTCTGGAGTATTTTTAGTCTGTGATTTATAGTAAAAAAACTTCTCCAAATTAACAGATTAGAACAGCTTTAACATGTTAAAGTTGTTTAACTAGTTTTTGTTTATCAAATATAATGTTACAACTAGTYGGGGTTCCCTTTAAGTTGTAAAACTTCTCTAAATTAATAGATTACGTATGAATGCACAGATTAAACTGGTTGCAAAGCTTTCCCGAATCCCTCCCAGACTGTTTTGTTCAAACAGCACACGCGTGGATTGTGATCAAGTAATCCGCTGACTCAGCATCTCTTCCGATAACTCTGCCACTTTAACAGGTCGGATTACGGCCGGATCGACTTGTTCAGCGAGTCGCACAGAAGCTCTTTTGTTCCGTGTGTGTTATGTTGTTGTTTTGTGTTCCTGGCAGTGATTCGGGGCGCGGCAGCAGCCTGTTGGACAGAGCCGTCGCAGACAGACGGCAGCTCAACGCCATGACGCTGCCTGACTTCAGCGACCCTGAGACCGGTAGGAAGTCCACAAAAACAAGACACAAATGTCCCCCCCACCTCCAAAAAAAGAAAAAAAATCCTTCACAGTTATTCTCTGCGCATCAGTCTGCTCTGTTTTTATTTCCTCCCTTTTCTTTCTTGATTAATTTGACTTTTTGTTCTGTTTTTATTTCCTGTTTGTAGTCTCAGGCTCCTCCTCTTCCCTCTCTGGTTTCGAATCGGTCTCCCCCACCTCCCCGTCCACTGCGTCCCCCCTCTCCTCTCCGCTGTCCTCTCCTTCATCTCCCTCCTTTATGTTCCAGCCTCCTCTTTTTCCCCCTCCACCTAGGAACCCTTCCTCCCTCCCTTCTCCTCCCCCTCCTCCTCCTCCTCCACCCTTCAAGACCAGGACTCAGTCATTTTGCAACCACGTCGCTCTACGTCAACTCCCCAACCGTAATCTGTCTTTGTGGACACTCAGTCCATGGCATGGTGTGGAGAGTGACCTGGAACGCTTCAGAGATGGATTTGCATGTTTAGTGGTGTAACTCTCGCTAATCACTTTTTTTGTCAAATTTTAGAAGTAAACCTGCTGAACTTCAAAGTGAGTTCAGTTTTTACCAAAAAACAAACAAAAAAAAAAAAGAAGTCAGGCTTGAGGACGAATTTTAGCTGATCCAAATCATCCCCGCAGAATTTGGGTTTGTGATGCTTCAATCATCAGATTTCCAGAACCGGTCGTGTCGTTCTGTTAGCTTTTAGCCACGCGGTTTACAAAATAAAACAAAAAATCCTTTAACTTCCAACCTTTAAACTTTTCATAGATCGTCCGCTCTCCTTTATCGGCTTACTATTTAAGGTCAGAGGTTGAACTTTGATTACGACAAAATGCAGTAAAAAATAAAAAGTTCTTGTCAACATTACGCTAAACCCTCTGTTGCTAAATAAAATAACAAAGGCTCTGATTGTAAACCAGCTGTTTGTTGCAACAGTAGGAAGCTTAGCCTCCTAATCAGACTGTTTAAAGCTGAAAGTTTGAGCCTTTTAACAAATAAAGTTTTCATTTCTCACCCCTTTAAATGTCACAGATTACACAACAGTGATTAGTACAAAATCTGCAACTAATCTAGAACCTCGTGCTTCTGAAAAGTAGGACTTTAAGACAAAGTGGAGCGATGTCCGGGAGTAAAACTGTAGAATCAACTCCGTTTACCTGAAGTGTCGGCATCTTTTCACAATATAGTTTCTATTTTTATTTAGTTTATTTTAATACAGTGATCAGATAAGGCTGTGTTTTGTGATGCGGAGTAAAAGGTTTATTTTATTTTAACTTTTCATTTATTAAAAATGAGTTTCTTCTGTTTTTCCTCTCAATCGTTAACAATCATCTTATCTTTTTTTTCCCACCCTTCCGTTTTGTTTTTTGTTTGTTTTTTTCTTTTCAAGGCGGCCTTCCGGACGCTAACACTCTTGGTTTTTCCTCCATATTTTCTGTTTGTAAGTAGCCATCTAACCTCCATCATATCTCCCTCCTTTGTTCATTGCTTACCTCCCATCTTCCCCACCCGGTGCGGTTCATGGATAAAAATATGTGTGTTTTCTGCTTCACCCCCACGTCCGCAGCCAGTTTCAGGAGGAAAAACGGTGACACAAAGTGGAACTTCTGTGAAGTTCTTTGCATTTTGTCACTTTGAAGCTGCACTAACGCACCACAAAGGCAAACGTTTGGCTGCTTTTAGAAGCTGAGGTTGTTTTAAAATTCACTTCCTGCGAGTTTTCCTTTTTAAAAGCTGCCAAATAATTAAGCGACGGCAGGAAGCGAAACGAGAAGCAGCTTCCTGGTTGTGAATTTCTGACACGTGGGTTTAATTTTCACAAGAATAAACACAACACTGATTTACTATCTTTCAAAGCCATTAAAACAAAGTGTCATGGCTGATTTAACTGATTGATGATGAACAGGAGGCTGGGAGGGGAAAGAAACGTGGCTTAAAGGACAAATTTATCCCTTAAAATAATTTTATTTGGTCAAAATATATACAGCTCTGTAAATATAGAAAACAGTCAGTTGCATTTTTTAACACTGAGCATGTTTAGTGCACAAGTTTTAAACGTGTACAGTTTGTTTTTACTGAATCTTCCACTCTTTTTATAAAAAAAGCGATAACCTAAAATGTTTTCATATTGTTTTACTATATTTTTAGTTTTTTTCTTTTTAAGAAACCTTGTAAACCTAAAAAAGCTTAAATATYAGCAACATAAAAGCTGTTTACTTTGTCTAACTGGTCCATTTTATTTTGCTCTGAATTAGAAAACGGCTTCACAAAAAGAACCTCGTGTTGCATCAACACCTGAATGTCAAAACAAGCCCATAAATGTTCAATCTACTGAACATTTATAGTGAATGTTTCTACCTGAAATCGATTATTAAACCTGGAAATTTTGTAAGTTTAAAATGGAAGATACGCCGTGTGAACCAAACAGTGTTTACCTTTTAGTTTTTTACATTCAGGTGACTAAACTCAAACTAAATAAAGGATCTAAAAAATCTAAACCAGCTTAAATAATGATTATTTTTGAAGTGTTTATTTTCAGCTCTGAACTCACACGTAACACAGCAGCTTCTTATGAGTGGCACTAATGACTTTATGTTATCACGTCGCTTTGCTTTGACCGTTTTTCTAATTAAATTTTAAAAAAGGTGACAAACCGTCAAAGTTTAGCTGCAGTTCATGCATGTTTTTTTATTTTGAACTGGTTGATCCAATACATTAACTGTGTTCAGTGAGTTTTGCTGCCAGCTTTAACGCTCATAAAACACATCTGTTTAACACAGCTGCAGTAAATCGGCATGTTTGACGCGTTAACGCTGCGATTTCTTCCCCACCGCTCCCGGCAGGCTCTGTTCACGCCACGTCCATCGCAGCCAGCCGGGTGGAGCAGGCTCTGTCGGAGGTCGCCTCATCCCTGCAGAGCAGCGCCCCCAAACACGGACCCCTGCACCCCTGGATGACGCTGGCTCAGATCTGGCTTCACGCAGGTGCACACCTTTGTTTTATTTCAACGCTTTCAAAGCAGCAGATTATCTGCGGACATCTTAACAGTCAGCTGGTGGTTTTAATTTTAAAAAAATCTGATATTTGAATTTTATTCTCATTAATTTCCTTTTTATTGTTCCCACGTCTCAGCTTCAGGTCCTGCAGCCGCCTGGTCAGTTTTTTTGCAAACTTGATGGGTCAAAACTTAAACTAACTTAAACTAAAATAGAGGAATGTTCCAGAAAAATGTTTTACTTGAAATATTTGTCATTAATGTTTCAATATGTCTTGACCTTTGAGTACTTAAATTAGAAAAATTAGTATTTTAAATATTTTAGATGCTTGATTTTAGGTGTATCTGTATTTTTTATTACTTAATAATTAGGGGTGCAATGATACGGTTCGGTTCGGTTCAATAC